AGAAAAGTGGAAAGTATTCCCTACTAAGCCTCAGACTGGATGCCTACGTGAGTCTCTGCAGTTGCCCTGGGCCTGGAACCCTAGGGGCACGGGGGACCTGGACTTGGAGGCGGTTTGGGACCAATGGGTCCAGATTGTTGAACTTGAGCTATGCCATATCTTTGACATCACGGGGGAGGAGATGGAGTTCACGGGAAGGACACATGGTTTCAGGAGGAAGCAGGTTTCCCTGGACACTGTCTTGAAAGGTAAGTGGTTTGCGCACAGTACCCCTCGCCTTCGTGCCTGGCGAGCTCTAGACGCACTTCTTGTTAAGGCTGCACTGTTTGCAGATGACCTGGAGGGATCTGCGATGTGGCCTTCGGTGCGAGCGTCCATTCTCGGCTTGAGCATGGACAATTTAGGTGCCGAGTTCCAATGTCTGGCCCCTAGCCTTCCTGATCTGATTCGCAAGATCGAGGACCCCGAGGGGGTCGAGATCGGTTACCTGGGACCGGCTTGCAAGATGACTTTTGAGAAGATGCTTAAATATCATTCGGCGAAGAGATGGTCGGATTGAAAGGCTTGGGCCCAGGATGCTGCTTCTGCTAAGGCTGGCAAGGCCGCGCGCGCTTACTCTAAGGTAAAGGCCCCGGCCCAGGAGCCTCGTGCTGCTGAGGGATGGGCCCTCCAAGGCGACAATGCGATTGCCGCCCTGCAGGAGGACTGGGGGATGCATTGGCTTACTCATGACTGTCCTCTCTCGCTTGCGCAGCACGCCGAAGCAGATGCTGAGCCTCCTCTTGTTAGGCCTGATAGGGAACAAGTAAGGTGGGCTCTCAGTGAGTTCAAACACGAGACGGGTCTGGGGGTCGACTGTGTGAATCTTAGGAGTTGGCTTTTACTTCTTGTGGAGTATGTTGATCGCTTGACGGACCTGCTTATGCTTTGGGAAAGGTGCCCCAAGTTGCCAGATAAGTATGCCACCCCCATCGTCTTCCAGGGTAAACCTGACGGTGCTGGATTGCGCCCGCTTGCCCTTATCGTTTCGGTGCTCAGGGTCTGGGCCAGAGTACGTCAGCAGGTGGTCAGGTATTGGGGGCGTGTGCACTCTGCTTAGTTCTTCTGGGGCGAGGGGGACAAGGAGTGTGATCGGGCAGGGTGGAACCATGCGATGACGTGTGAATTTGCTCGGATGAAGCGTTTCCACTCGGGGGCCCTGTTTAGCGATCTGGACAAGTTTTACGAGCGAGTTGCTCCGTCGATTCTCTTTGAGGAGGCCAAAGCTACTGGTCCCAGTCACCGTCTTACGCGCGCTGCTCTTCAGCTGCATGTTGGTGCTCGAGCTCTCACGTTCCAGGGAGCGATCTCGGCCATTTTGCGCGCGACAGGTACGATTTTAGCAGGCTGCAGTTTGGCTCTATCGTTTGCGCGAGTGGTGCTGTGCAGGCTTCTTTCTGCAGTCACTGCGGCTTACCCTTCCCTCGCGATCAGGAGTGTGATCGACGATGTATCCATGCAATCGATTGGTGCTGCGAGGTTTGTGCGTGGGCGGGGGGGGGGGGGGGGGGGGTGCAGCTGGGAGGAGCTGGGGTGATGCTTCAGGAGGGCAGGAGGGTTTCGAAAAGCTTAAGCTCGTCCTCTCTGGTAAAAAGACCAAGTACATTCCTCGTGCAAGGAGTTAGGTGTGGTGCTCCGTGAAATTTGGGGTCAGTATGGTTTCAAGTCTCAAAGTGTTGTTCGATCGTTGGGATGTGACGCCGTGGCTCGACGCTCACTGCGAAACCCTACTGCTCGTGCTCGGCTTTTGAAGGCTTCTAAGCGATCCAGAAGATGGCTGAGACTGAAGAATGCTGGGGCTTTTGTGGGCAATCTTCAGCGTGCTGGACCCCGAGCGGCAGGTCTCTAGCGATCTGCGGTGGCAGGTCTATGCCCCAAGCAGCTGCGCACCATGAGGCTTGCAGCAGCACGCAGTTTGAGCAAAGACAAGTCGGGGGCCCTCATGTCGTTCAGGCTCAGGTCGCACCCAATTGGAGCCCGTATGGGCCCCTTATGCTATATGCCATATGAATGTGGTTTTACAATGGTGCAAGGCTATCTGGGATGGATCTCCTGGGCTGGATGTTATGCAGTTTTTTTGATTTTATGAGAGAGCCGTGGACGACCTCGGGCAGGTCAGAAGACCGTGGGGTATATGTACCAGTCCAGCACATGTCTACTTGCTCACGCTGCGAGAGTTAGGCTGGACGCCTACTTCAGCCAGACAGGTTTCGACTGCTCGAGGAGAAGTGGTTGACCTGTTATCTCTATCGCCGGTAATGGTTAGCAGTCTTGCGCAGCGTGATGCAGGACACTGGGCTGATAAACGTGCTCTCCTCCTTAGGCCAACGCTCAACGGGGTTTGGTGTAGGCCTGTGCTGTGGGAGGGGGCTAGAGATCTCCTGAAGGATGGGTGTAGCCAGGTCCGGGGACAACGTCGCAAAGCATGTGTGAGAAATGCGTTCGCTCTTGGTTCCTGGACTCAGGCTCGCCTTAAGGATCACGGGCTGGCCGATGACGACATCTGCCAGCTGTGCCAGGCCAGCAAGGGCACTCTTTTCCATGGGAGGTTCGAGTGCGAGGCCTTCGACGGTGACAGACGTCAATATTTATCTGCTGCATGTTCTGCAGCGTCGAGAAGAGTGAAGGAATGGGGCCAAGATCTTGAGAACTATGCTGCTGGGTTTTTTTCCTCATCCTCGAGAGCTGATCCCTCCTCCTCTCTCCCTATCCTCGTGTGAAGTTTTGTGGTTCAACAAGCCGGCCTCTGGTAGGCTGAGCGGTAGAATATTCACTGATGGATCTGCGACCAACCCTCAGTGCGAAGATATCCGCAGGGCTGGGTGGAGCTTGGTCCAGACCAACGAATTCGGTGATTTGATTTCTGCGGCCTACGGGCCAGTGCCTTGCGAAGAGGCCCCGTGGCAACAGGCCCGAGACGGTGGGGATTACGCCTACAGAATGGCGTCCGAGTTTTTTGAACCGTTTTCCGATAACACGTTGTTTATGGACTGCCAGGGGACCCTGGGCTGTGTCTGGGACAGGGCCAGCAGTTGCTCTTCCCAGAATCCTCGGGCCCATCTCTGGACCAAGGTTTGGCATGTTTTTGAGAACGGGGTGTCTGCTTATAAAGTAAAAAGGCCATGCGACTGTGGCCGACGTGCTTAATGGTAGATGCACGGAGGTAGAGCGCCTCGGTAATAAGCATGCTGACAGATTTGCTAACTTAGGTGCTGCGTGCCACCCTCTCCCTGAGCAGTTCCTGGAGCTCCGTTCCCTGCTGATTGAGCACCAGAAGGAGCTGCTTAGATGGGGTGACATGCAAGATGTCATGATGGCTGATAGGGGTTGGGTGGACTCGTCTGGTTTCCCTGTGCCCGTTGAGGTGGACGGAAACATGGAACGCGATTCCCAGCCTAAGCCATCCAAGTCTGTTTCTGCCAGGCAGTTAGCTAGGATGTGCAAGGACGGCCATCGGAAGTGGGCCCCTCGCATTGATTTCAGGGTGCCCCTCCTTTCTGATACTGCCGACGATGTTCCCGCTGAGGTCTTAAGTGGGACCACCCTCTTGTCCAGGCTGCAGGGCCATAACCTTTGCAAAGCGAAGGTTTTCGTCAGGGACGGTGGGGGGGCGGCTGGGAGCGGGTGGGTGATCTGCTGCTTGAAATGTGGTGGATATGCATGGTCAGGTGTCATGTCCTTAGCTGGTAAGTGTCAGGGCCAGCCGAGGACCAAGGATCTCAGACAACAGAGATCGAGGTTCTTGCGTGGTGTTTTCCCCTCTTGGGCGAAACAATATGCAGGGTGGGCTGTTTCTGGACATGGATCCCCGCCCCCCTTGGACTTGCTGTCCCTGATCAGGGCAGCGCACAGAGGGATCCAGGTCAGGCGTGCTGATGACAACGATCATGCCGCTGCAGTTCCAGGCCTGTGGGAGGAGAGGTGGAATCCTGCCCAGCTGCTCTCACGTTTCGGCCTGGTGATGCCCGCTCCACAGTCACATGTTACTGAGTGAATGTGCTTGTGTTTGGGGCGGCTGGCATTCGACGGCCGCGAGAGTACACAGTACAGGAGAGGAGGAGGAGGAGGAGGAGGAGGAGGAGGAGGAGGAGGAGGAGGAGGAGGAGGAGGAGGAGGAGGAGGAGGAGGAGGAGGAGGAGGGAGGAGGAGGAGGAGGCGGCAGAGGGCAGCGTACGACACTCGCCAGCACGGCAAACGGCAGGCCAAGGCAGCGCACGGCGCTGCTGCAGCACCCGGCAGAGCCCCCGCCGCTCCAAGACGAGCCGGGGCCCTGGCGTGGCCGGGTGGCGCAATGCAGGGCCTGCGGCAGGGCCGGGCGGGCCTGCGGCAGGGTCACGCGGGGCGCGACACGCGCCCCGCGGCGCGCTCCTTGCAGGCACCGCCACCGCCCGGCAGCGGCGCGGCGGCGCGGTGCAGTGTGCAGGGCGCAGGCGGGCCCTGGCCGGGCGAGGCGTGCGCTGGCCACCTGTCGGCGCAACGGGTGCCATCGGGGGGCAGCGCCTCGCCGAGTCCAGGCCTCAAGTCGTGGGCCTCCGCCTCCCATCCACCAGACCTCTCACCATCCGGTCCTCCTCCTCCTCCTCCTCTCCCCTCCCCCCCTCCTCACCTCCTCCCTCCTCCTCCTCCTCCTCTCCTCCACCTCCTCCTCCTCCTCTCCTCCTCCTCCTCCTCCTCCTCCCTCCTCCTCCTCCTCCTCCTCCTCCTCCTCCTCCTCCTCCTTTTCCTCCTCCTCCCTCCTCCTCCTCCTCCTCCTCCTCCTCCTCCTCCTCCTCCTCCTCCTCCTCCTCCTCCTCCCTCCTCCTTCTCCTCCTCTTCCTCCTCCTCCTCCTCCTCAGCGTCTTCCTCCTCCTCCTTTTCATCCATCTCGAAGTTGCTCCTAGAGTTTCGTTTGTGCAGGCCCTTCCTCTCCACGTCCGCTGCTTGTCCGCATCGGCCCACTGAGACCTTCCCCCCCCGCACAGGTGGCCAGTTCCTCTACACCCAGAAGTCTCCTCCCTTCGGGGAGCGGCCCCTGGCGCTCATCAAGCAGGCGCGCAGGGGGAAGCTGGGCCGGCATGCACCCGGTGAGGTAGAACCGTTGGCAGTGAGACACGATGTCACCGATCGCATTCCGCTACTCGCAAAGTGCCCACTCGCAAACGTCCGAAAGTCACATGTGTGCATCGACCGAATGTATCGTGAATCCCCCATGGCGGATCCAGGCCATCTGCAAGTAGCTGCTCTGCGAGTAGTGGAACGCGCTTGCCTACGATGGCCCGCATGCCCCCCCCCGTCAGAGCCGGGCTTCCAGGCCACACGCATGTTTTCCCCTCCAGCGAGGCCAGACGGGAACCCATCTGTGCAGACGGAGAAGAATTCAAAACATGCAAGGAAGGAAGCCTCAGCGTGCCGGGCGCCCTTGGGCCGCGACCCCGCGGCTGCGCGGGGTTGGGGATTGAGGCTCCGCGCTGTCAGATCATTGGGCCGCCGTCCAGCGATTGATGAGTTGCTCTTGCTGGGCGCAGGTGCCCTGCAGCTGTGCATGCCTGGTGCTGGAAGTTCCTGCTCAGATCCTGAATCTGAAGGTGGCCAATTCCCAAGTCTTCCTTGTAATCTTATGCAGCGCCAGTGCTTCATGCATCCTTCGAACACGCCTAACAGCCAGTGGAAAAACAGTGCTTGTCGTGGATACCCCGCGCGGAGCGCATATCTGTTCGACCGCGCATGCGCGGGACCGCGGCCCAGCATCCAGGCCGCGAGGGCGCGGGTCCGGATCTGTTCACCGCTCGCGATCTTCGGACTTCTGCGTTCACCGAGCGCGGTCCACTAGCCTGTCCCTCTACAGGAGGAATATTCAAAAATAGTCAACAAATAGCCTGGGGACTTTTTCCCTACCTAGGCTCTGCCTAGAAGGGTTCTTACTCTCTTAGCTTAAAGGGGCCGGGCAGTGGAAAGCGCCCCGGGCGGTTCCCCCAGTCCCCGCCCCGCGGTTCCCCCCAGTCCCCTGGGAGCTTTAGCTTTAGCTTTAGCGTTAGCTTTAGCTTAGCTTTAGCTTAGCTTTAGCTTAGCTTTAGCTTAGCTTTAGCTTAGCGTCTCGCTTAGCGTTTCGCTTAGCTTTTCGCTTAGCGTTTAGCTTAGCTTTAGCTTAGCTTCAGCTTAGCTTTAGCTTAGCTTTAGCTTAGCTTTAGCTTAGCTTTAGCTTAGCTTGAGCTTAGCTGTAGCTTAGCTTTAGCTTAGCTTTAGCTTAGCTTTAGCTTAGCTGTAGCTTAGCTTTAGCTTAGCGTCTCGCTTGGCGTCTCGCTTAGCTTTTCGCTTAGCGTTTAGCTTAGCTTTAGCTTAGCTTCAGCTTAGCTTTAGCTTAGCTTTAGCTTAGCTTGAGCTTAGCTGTAGCTTAGATTTAGCTTAGCTTTAGCTTAGCTTTAGCTTAGCTTTAGCTTAGATTTAGCTTATCTTTAGCTTAGCTTTAGCTTAGCTTGAGCTTAGCTTGAGCTTAGCTGTTGCTCAGCTTTAGCTTAGCTTTAGCTTAGCTTTGGCTTAGCTTTAGCTTAGCTTTAGCTTAGCTTTAGCTTAGCTTAGCTTAGCTTAGCTTTAGCTTAGCTTTAGCTTAGCTGTGGCTTAGCTTCAGCTTAGCTTTAGCTTAGCGTTACTGTTACTACTAATGCTGCTTTCCTAGGGGTTCCAACTCCTAGGTAGGGTCGCACTGGGATAATTTGTTTTGTTTGTGTGTGTGTGTGACTATGTTTGACTATCTTTGCGTATTTTTTCGGGTGTTCTTTATTTTTCGTCCAAAACCTGCCTGTAGGGGGACATGCCCGACCTAACACTACTCGCACAGTGCCCGCTCGCCAACGTCGGAGAAATACATGTGTCTTCCTCTGCGCAATGTATCGTAAATTCCCCGCGGCGGATCTCCGGGCCGTCTGCGAGTGGTTTCTTTGCGAGTCGTGGAATGCGCTCGTCTGGGTCGCCCCCCGCAGCCCGGCCAGCATCGACCCGCTGCGCAGGCCGCGCGACGAGCACGGCCGCGACGACGGCTGGGGGGCCTCCTGCGGGCCTGCGGGGGGCCCGAGGAGGGGGCCCGCAGCGCATACGGCTCAGACCCTCGACCCTCCTCGGTCCGCCTGGACCCTCGGTCCTCGATCGACTCGATCCTCCTCGGTGCTCCTCGGTCCTCCTCGGACCCTCGATCCGCCTCGATCCAGGCACAGAACCTGGGCCCCGGATCCTCATCGATCCACACCTCGGCGGCGGGCGAGGGGGGGAAGTGAGAAGGAGAAGGCCTTCTCAGAAGGCGGCAGGGCTTCTCAGAAGCCCTCGCGCCTTCTGAGGAGCTTCCTGCGCCGTCGGAGAAGGCCTCGAGAACTTCTCAAAGGCTTGGAGACTTCCGAGCCTTCTGAGAAGGCCCGCCCCTTCGCACTTTGGGCCCGCCGCCGATCACCGGATCCAGGTCGTCGAGGCAGAAGCAGCGGCGCCAGCATAAACTTTTTGGCGATCCGCGAGGGTTTTCGCCAGGGGCCGCGCCGAAGGCGCCGCTGGGGGGCTCAGCGCGGATCAAAGGAATCCGTGCGGAGCGCCAAAAGGTTACGTTGGCGGCGTTTCTTTTTCTTCTTCGGCTAAGGATGCAGGGGCCTTGGAGGGCCATGCTGACACCTTTCGAGCGGGGCGCGGCTGGCGAGCGGAGCGCGGCTGGCGAGAAAATAGTCTGGGGACCATTGTTTGACCATGTTTGAGCATTTTTGGAATATGTTTTGGGTATTTTGACCTAACAGCGAAGACTGATAGGTTTCGAATGGTCCCAAAAGAAAGCATCATGACTCCCCAGGGGGGTCCGGGCAGGATCCGGGGAGAATCCGCGGATCCGCCAGTGACTATGGGGAACGCACCACTGAGGCTGAGGCTGATTCCCCCAGCGCCGCCAGTGACTATGGGGAATGCACCACTGAGGCTGAGGCTGAGGCCCCCAGCGCCGCCAGTGCTTATGGGGAACGCACCACTGAGGCTGAGGCTGAGGCCCCCAGAGCCGCCAGTGACTATGGGGAATCCACCACTGAGGCTGATGCTGAGGCCCCCAGCGCCGCCAGTGACTATGGGGAATCCACCGCTGAGGCTGAGGCTGAGGCAGGCTGAGGCTGAGGCTGAGGCAGGCTCAAGCTGAGGCTGAGGCTGAGGTTGAGGCTGAGGCTGAGGCTGATGCAGGCTGAGGCTGATCCAGGCTGAGGCTGAGGCCGAGGCTGACGCAGGCTGAGGCGCAACGGTGTTGCACTACCACCACGGCGAAACTGCCCCAGGTGCTGTTGACATCACCGATGGCTCAGCCTTTGACTGGCTTCGATGGGTGGCGCAGATCGAGGGTGCGCGCGACATCATCCTGGATGGCGTCCACAGGGTGTACGTTGTCCGCTGGACTCCGCACTGGGCCCCAGAGGCCGTCTTTTGCTACGGCAACAACACGTACAGCACATTGGTGCCTCGCAAGGCGCGATACACAGGCTCATGGACACAGACGCGCTTTAGGATGTACAGTGACGCCAATTGGGTGACAGAGCCGTTGCTGTCTGCGGCCCCTGTGGCAGCTACGCCATGGCTGTTGTTGCCGGATCAGGTGACCTGGGAGTGATCTCTGGCAAGCGAGACGTGGTGCTTCTTAGCCTGCACTCGTGTGTAGCGCTATGCCGTGGCCTGCACTCGTGTGGTGCTTCTCAGCCTGCATGTGCGTGGTGCTTCTCAGCCTGCACTTGTGTGTAGCCGTGGGTAGTGAGATACGGGGCGCCTCAGTCTGCATCCTGCAGGCAGTTTTGCTGCTGTGCAAACGATGGTACAGACCAGCGCAGTAGGGAGATAATGCAGAGCGATGGAAACACGGATACAGACACGCCTTGCAGCGCCTGCATGTTACTACTGGTGCTACTACTACTACTACTACTACTACTACTACTACTACTACTACTACTACTACTACTACTACTACTACTACTACTACTACTACTACTACTACTACTACTACAACTACTACTACTACTACTACTACTACTACTACTTACCACCACCACCTACTACTACTACTACTACTACTACTGCTGCTGCTACTACTACTACTACTATTACGACTACTACTACTACTAGTACTACTACTACTACTACTACTACTACTACACTACCACTACTACTACTACTACTATACTACTACTACTACTACTACTACTACTACTACTACTACTACTACTACTACTACTACTATCACCACTACTACTACTACTGCTACTACTACTACTTCTACTTCTTCTGCTTCTACTACTACTACCACTACAACTACTACTACTACTGCTACTACAACAACAACTACTACTACAACTACTACTACTACTACTACTACTGCTACTACCACTACTACTGCTACTACTAGGCAGAGGCTGAGGCTGAGGCAGGCTGAGGCTGAGGCTGAGGCAGGCTGAGGCTGAGGCAGGCTGAGGCTGAGGCTGCGACTGCGACTGCCGTTGCCGCTGCAACTGCCATTACGATTGCGCCTGCGGCTGCAATTGCACCAGAAGTCTACAACAGGACTCCTACATGAATCTCAAGGGCAATGCTTCCAGATATGCTTCAACACATTGCTGTTATGTTGCTTTGCCGGGATCATTTTAATTTTTCATTCCAACATCCCCCTGTAGGAGCACATGCCCGACCTAATTGCACGGGTTGGCTCTAGGTCGAGCCCGCAGGAGCTGCGGAGGCGGGAAACGGGCGTCCTCGATGCTTCCGAAACTGTCCCAGAATGGCCCAGCAAAGCCCGTCGGGAGAAGCTGGCAAGCAGAGGTGCTGCATGCCTTCGACGCTGGCAGGAGAGCAGCCAGCAGCGCGAACGTGACTTCCAGATATTCTCTTCACGGCCAGACCTGGGACATAATGACCCTCGTCGAGAACACGAGACCCTCCGCCGGCCAAGCTGAAGACCATTCGAGGGCACCCTCCCCCCAGGATGCACGAGAACGCCCAGCACACACGAAGCCTGGCGCCCATGTGGCAACCACTCTTTCAGGATTCGAGGGCCCCCCCCCCCGCATTCGAGGCTACCCCCCCCAGGATGCACGAGAACGCCCAGCATTCGAGGGTACCCTCCCCCCGGGATGCACGAGAACGCCCAGCACACACGCAGCCCTGGTACCCACGCGGCGCAGAGCGGGCGCCCTCTCCAGGCGGGGTTCGCCCTCCGCGCTCCCTGGGGAGCCGCCACGCGCCCGGCCCTCCGCCTGCAGTGCGGCAGGCCTCGCGCCAGGGCGCCGTGAGCTCTCGGAACCGCGCGCCGCTGCGAAGTGCGGGGTCGATCCTCGATCCTCGATCCTCGACCCTCGCTCCTGGGTCCTCGATCCTCGATCCTCGACCTCGATCCTGGGTCCTCGACCTCGATCCTGGGTTCTCGATCCTCGATATACATATACACATATATATACATATACACATACATATACATATACATGTACATATCGTATACATATACATTTACATACACATATAATATAACATGCATGTACACATACATATGCATATACATTACCCCAGTGCGACCCTACCTAGAAGTTGGAGCCCTCTAGGAAAGCAGCATTCGTTGCTATGCTATGCTATGTTATGATATGCCATGCTATGCTGTGCTATGCTATGCTATGATATGCGATACTGCGCTGTGCTATGATATGCTATGCTATGCTGCGCCATGCTATGCTATGCAAATCTGCGCTATGCTGTGCTATGATATGATATGCTATGCTGCGCTATGCTATGCTATGCTGGGCTATGCTAGGATATGCTGTGCTGCGCTATGCTATGCTACGCTATGCTATGCTATGCCGTGCTCTTGCTATGACAAAGCTCAATTACGCTAAGATGAAGGTCAACTATGCTAAGACAAACTTGAGCTATGATGAAGCTGAGCTAAGCTAAGATGACATAAGCTAAGATAAGATGACATAAGCAACGCTAAGCTAAGGAGACGTAGCTGGGGGAACCGCGGGGCGGATGACGGGGGAACCGCCCGGGGCGGGTTCCATGGCCCGGCCCCTTTAAGACAGAGGGTAATAACCTTTCTAGGCAGAGCCTGAGATAGGGAATATACATATACATATACATTATCCCAGAGCGACCCTACCTAGGAGTTGGAGCAAGAGCAATATTAGTAGTAACGGTCAACGCCGTCCTCCTCCTTCTCCTCATCGTCGCAGTTGTAGCAGTAGCGCGCGTAGTAGTAGTAGTAGTAGTAGTAGTAGTAGTAGTAGTAGTTGTTGTAGTAGTAGTAGTAGTAGTAGTAGTAGTCGTGGTGGTGGTGGTGGTGGTGGTGGTGGTGGTGGTGGTGGTGGTAGTAGTAGTAGTAGTAGTAATAATAGTGGTCGTAGTAGTAGTAGTAGTAGTAGTAGTCGTCGTCGTCGTCGTCGTCGTCGTCGTCGTCGTCGTCGTCGTCGTCGTCGTCGTCGTCGTCGTCGTCGTCGTCGTAGTCGTAGTCGTAGTAGTAGTACAGCTTAATACCTACATATACATCTAGACCTACATCCACATCTACACCTACAGCTACATCTACATGTGCACATGCATCTACATCTACATCTACATCTACATCTACATCTACATCTACATCTACATCTACATCTACATCTACATCTACATCTACATCTACATCTACAACTACACGCACATCTACATCTAAATCTGCACCTACATCTACACCTACATGTACATCTACATCTACATCTGTACCTATCTCCACATCTACACCTACACCTACATCTAAATCTACATCTACACTTTCGCATTTGCTTTGCTTTTGCTTTGCATTGGCTTTGCTATTGCTCTTGCCTTTGCTATGCTGCGCTATGCTAGGCTATGCTATGATATGCTATGCTGCGCTATGCTATGCTCTGCTGCGCTATGCTGCGCTATGCTATGCTATACTATGTTATGCTATGCTATGCTATGCTATGCTGCGCTATGCTATGCTATGCTATGCTATGCTGCGCTGTGGTATGCTATGCTATGCTATGTTCTGCTATGCTATGCTTTGCTATTCTGCGCTTTGCTATGCTAAGCTATGCTATGCTATGCTATGCTGCGCTATGATATGCTATGCTATGCTATGCTTCGTTGTTCTATGCTGCGCTATGCTATGCTATGATATGATATGCTATGCTATGCGATGCTAATGTTGCGCTGCGCTAAGCTAAGCTAAAATGAGCTAGGCTAAGCTAAGCTATGCTAGGCTAAGCCAAGCTGAGCTAAGCTAAGCTAGGCTATGCTAAGCTAAGATAAGCTAAGTTAAACTATGCTAAGCTAAGATGAGATAAGCAACGCTAAGCTAAGAGGACGTACGTGGGGGAACCGCGGGGCGGATACAGGGGGAACCGCCCGGGGCGGTATCTACTGCCCGGCCCTTGAAGCACAGAGGGTAAGAACCCTTCTAGGCAGAGCCTAGGTAGGGAATATACACATACACATACACATACACATACACATACACATACAATTACATATACATATACAAATGCACATATACATACATATACACATACAAATGCATATACATATACTTTGGCGGTTTGTAATTAAACACGTTGTGCAGAAGTCAGCAAACCGACAGGGGACGGACGTGGGTCTGTCACCGTTTTTGCTCAAGCTTTTAATTTGCGGCCACCGCCTATGCAATCCCTCGGGCACATTCTCTCGGGGGCCCACCAGTTGGCCGCCGTCGCCGGCGGGCTCGCATCGCAGTGGGCGAGCCAGGCCGGCAACTGTGTGGTGATAGCAAACAGCATCGGCGATCTGAAAGTTGCCTTCACGTATCTCTTCGCCGCAGGGCTACTGCTGGGCTGTATCGGAGGGTGCCTCTGCTGCAAGGGCCTGGCCGTGAGCCATGGCCGCCTGGCGAGCTGGTCACAGGATCGGCGTCTTGTGGAAGGACGGAGAGGTTTGGCAGACTCGCGTGCTCCTTTGTGCTGGTACCACCGCCGACGCCGAGAGCGACCTCCAGATGACTGGTCTGAAAGCAGCGGGGAAGAACGGGAACATCTGGTACGCTTTCACGCCAGACGGGGACGTGTACATTCACGTTCTGGAGCCCCCGGGAGTCCGGGGGTCGGCGCTGTGCGATCAGATGGGCCTGCCAGAGCGGACCGGGTCCTTGCAGTTCGGGAGGACCTGGCGAGCAGGGGGCAGGATCTACGGACAGGAGTGGACCCCGACGCCAGAGGAGTTCGTCGACGCGCTGCAGTTCGCGCTGGGCGGCTCCTTGTTCGAGGCAGCCCCACAAGTGGCGGACAAGACGGTCTCGGTGCTGCGACGGATGAGCAAGAAGGGGCCACTCCCAGCTGGCGCGGGCTTGGCTGGGGCAGCTCCTCCGAGTAGCTTTGTGCGTGGCTCGGGTGCCCTGCCGTCCGCGGTGGGGATGCGCTGGCAGGTTCAGGCCGCCAGCGGCCCAACACCCGAGCGCCGCCCGCTGCAGGACTACGATGTGGACGAGTACTGCACCGCGGGCGGCTTCGCGCTGGCGTCGCAGGAAGGCGAGCTGCTCCTGCTGAGAGAGGTCGAGAAGGCCTCACCTGAGGATGACACGGAGGTGGACGCCAGGCTCTTGCCGCTCGTGGAGGTCGAGGGTGTGCGCAAGCGGCACTTCAAGGACTCGCTCAAGCGGCTCACGGAGACGGCCTGGCGAGAGTGGCCCGTGCGCGGGCCACGTGCGACTGTCTGGTGTGCCAACTTCGTGGGCGACCAGGACAGTCATCCACGTTCGAGGCACACGAAGTGGAAGGCCGAGTGCCGTCTCACGACCGCCGACGTTGGGGTTTCCGAGCACGAGTTGTGTATGCGAGTATTGGAGCTGGCCGTCACCTATGACCAATTGAACATCGGGGAGCTGGCCAGCTTCGAGCTCATGCTCAGGCGCGCTTAGATGACGGAGTGGAGATATAGAGAGCGCGTGCTGGGGCGTCCACTCTTGGACGACACGGCGGAGGACGAGTTCCTCTGCATGGGGGCGGCGGAGACGAGGGGGCTGCTCATGGTGGCCCCGGAGTTGCAGGCCCACATCTCGGACGAGCTGCACCGCGAGTCGGCGGTGCTCATGGAGAGGCGCAAGCTCCGCGAGGAGCGCCTGGCGTCCCGCGGGCTGCCACCGGCTGGCGGCGGCGGGGGCTCGGCGTCCGCGGCAGCGATGGAGACGAAGATCAAGCAGCAGGCGGCGGAGCTCTCGAGGCCCCAAGCAAAGCTCAACCTCGGCGGCGGGGGCGACCCAGCCACGGGAGAGAGGCAGGCCGCGGCCAAGGGCCGCGGCCGAGGCACCTAGTCGCCCTGATGATCGCGCCGCGGGAGCTCCTCCCTCTGAGGGGCCCTGCGGCTTCATGCGCCTCGCCATCCTTGGCAGGCGTCAGCCGTGCTGTGCGGTCACGTGTTCGTCGGCGCACAGCTTGCTCGTCCTGGGCCAATGAGATCATCGACGCAGTCAATAATTTGTACTTCCACGGCGAGGTACAGCAGCATCACTCCGTCTCAGCTGGGCAGCAGCTCGCCCTGGACCACACCCGTGACGTGGTGCAGCGAGCTGGGCCGCCCATGATCGAGCCCGCGGCAGCCTTTCGAGTGCTGTGCGGATCGGCGCCAGGGTGCACTGAGCCCTCGGCAGAACATTCACCCTATCGACGAGGCGCAGTCTCGTTGCCGGCACCTGGAGCGGACCTTGCTCGTGGCGACGTTTGTCTTCGAGGGCCGGCATTGCAAATGTGGACAGGGTGGCGAGACTGTCTCTTGCACTCCAACCCGGACCTCTCCGGGGCAGTGCGGCCGTACTCTGACCCCGAGCTGATTCGGGACATTGGCACGAACGCCGAGTTTTTGGTGGACATGGCACGTTCAGGGCTCGTCTCCTTCACGAGCGAGAGGCCATCCACCGTGGGGGTCTTCTTCGTAAAGAAAGGTCCAGATCGTCTCCGACTCATTCTGGACACTCGACGAGCAAACAAGCTGTTTTTGGATCTTTGCCACACCCAGCTCTCTACACCATCGAGCTGGTCTTCTCTCTACTTGCCACCCGAGGCGGAGCTGATGATGACTCAGACCGACGTCAACAACGCGTTCTACCGCATCCAGCTCCCCCCCGGCATGAACGACTACTTCGTCCTGCCCAGCATCGACGCAAAGTGGATCACCGAGGCCGCTCCTGATCTGGCCCCTGGTCTCCCCTCAGGCATCCGCATCTCCCCTCGCATGGAGGTGCTGCCCATGGGGTTCAACTGGGCGCTGTTCTTCTGTCAGGCGATGGTCCGCAACGCCGCGGAGGACGCCGGCTTCGCTGACGGGCGGATGTTCTTAGACCGCCACTCGGCCCCCGACGTCGCCACCGAGCCAGGCGCCGCCGTGTACGTCGACGGCGTGGCCGTGGTGGGAACGGACCTGGAGGCGGTCGAGGCCGGCGGAGTCGCCGTGGCCGAGCAGCTGGAGGAGCGCGGCCTCCAGGTCAAGGGGGTCGAAGGCCCTTCGGACTCCCAGACCTTCGCGGGGATGGAGTTCGATCGGGCCTCCGGCCGCATCTCGCTCAGCCGCGAGAGGATCTGGAGGCTGCGCGCGGCCCTGCTGTTTGCTGCGGACCAGCGCTACTTGACTGGACGCCAGATGCGGCGCCTGGTCGGCCACTACACGTGGAGCGCGACTCTGCGGCGTGAGCTCCTCAGCGTCTTCAGCAGCGTCTACGCCTGGGCGGAGAAGGCGGGCGACAAGAGGTGGCGCCTGTGGCCTTCGGCCGAACGAGATCTCCGGCAGGCCGCCGCCCTCGTGGCCTTCGCCTTCGCGGACCCTAAGCGCCCGTTCCACGCCGCGGTCGTGGCGACCGACTCCTCAGGCGCCGGGCTGGACGACGCCGGCGGCTACGGCGTGGTCACGCAGGAGTGGCCCGTGGAGAAGGTCCGGCGCTGCTGTGGGCATGCCGAGAAGTGGCGCTACGGGGTGCAGGGGCTCGTCGCGGCCAGGGCGGCCGCGCTGGGCAGCCCCGCAGACCCCGGCCCGCCCCGCCCAGCGGCGGAGAACGGCGAGAGGACCACGGACTTCGAGAGCATGACGCGGGACGACATCGGGGCCTTCGAGAACTGGAAGCTGGCGTGCCGGGGCCGATGGGCCCGGGCCGAAGGCATCCTGAGGGCCGAGGGCCGAGCATGCATGATCGGCTTCCGTCACGAGCTGAGGTCCACGAGCACGCACGGAAAACGTATACTCTTTCTTGTGGACAACATGAGTGTGGTATTGAGTTTGGGTAAGGGTAGATCCAGCAGCCATCAGATGAACCGAACATGTCGTGAGCTTCTGTGTTTGTCAGTTGTTGCCAACCTCCAGGTCGTGGAGATGGGTCGCCTCAGAGTTGAATCCATCCGACCGCGCGTCCCGACTCCCGGGCTTAGCCATCTCGCTGGGCGGGGGCGGGCCCCGCGCGGCGGGGGGCGATGTTGCGCCGTCCGAGGCCGTGCTCGCCAGCCGCTTCGAAGCCGAGCTGGAGAGCGCGGCCCGCAGCCTTGGGCCCGCCCTTGGCGGGGACGCCTGCGGCCGCCCCCTCGCCGGCCTTGGGGGCCAGCTCGCTGCTGAGGAGGCCGGGCTCGGCGCTGCCGCCGCGGACGCCGGCGAGCTCAGCGACAGCTCCTCCAGCTCGGGGGAGAGCTGGCCAGCCGGCGCCGGCGGCAGCGACGGCCAGGCGCCGCCGCGCACGGGGCGGGCCGACTGCGGCACGACCGACTCGAGCAGCAGCACACGACCTGCGAGCCCGCCGCGGACAGCAGAGACGGCAGCACCAGGCGCGGGAGATCGCCGAGGCCCGGCGCCACGGCTTCACCAGTCTCCAGATGGCCAAGATCGGGCCTCGCTCCCGCGCCCAATACCAGAAGTTTCACCAGGCCTTCTTGGAGTGGAGCAGCCAGGAGGGTCAGCCGCTGGACACCGACCTCCAGATCGACCGGGCCCTCAGCAGGTACATGGACTACCTGTGCTACGAGGGCTTCAACGAGGATGCGGGCGAGAAGGTGCTGGCGGCCGTGGCCTTCCACGGCCCAGTGGAGGGCATGGAGCTTCCAGGAGCTCGCCGGGCGCTGGCGGGGTTCCGGCGCCGGGCGAGCGCGAGGGCCCGCAGCCCCCTGCCACTGGCGGGCGTGATGGCCATCGTTGGTGCAGCGGCAGCCGACGGCCAGCTCCCCTTTGCCCTGGGGCTGGTGCTGGCGTGGGAGGCCTACCTCAGGCTGCCGTCCGACCTCGTGAGCATGGTGGGCGCCTCGCTGGTCATGCCAGCCGCCAGGAGCCCCCAGGCGTGCTGGGGCCTGCTCCTGTTTCCTCAGGAGGGGGAGGCGCGCAGCAAGATGGGACACTACGACGAGGGGATCATGCTGGACGACCAGTTCGGACCCACGCTAGCGCCTTTCCTTCGCCGGCTGAAGGCCCAGACCTCCGACGCCAGCCCGCTGTGGTCCTTCTCGAGCGCCGCCTTCAGGCGCCTGTTCAACGAGTACGCTGCGAAGGTCAGCCTCGGAGGCAAGAACCCCTACCAGGTCAGACACGGGGGGGCCTCGCTGGACGCTCTGGAGTGCCGGCGCAGCCTGAAAGAGATCCAGGAGCGGCTCCGCCACCCGTGCGAGTCCAGCACCCGTCGGTGCAAGAAGGGGACCAGGTACCTGGCCGAGGTCAACGACCTCGACAGCCGGGCCCGCGCCTACGGCGAGCAGGTCCTCAGGCAGCTCGACGGGGTGCTGAGCGGGCGTGTTCGCCTCCCGCCACCGCCGGCCCTCGCCGGCGCCGCGGGCTGCGGGCGGGCGCCGTGATGCGCCAAGGCGACGCCCTGGAGGCGGTCGAGCGGGCCTCAGACACCAAGGTGATCCACCACCTCCGCCAGGGGCTCGCCCGGGCCAGCCGGCGGGGCCGGCGCCGTGGGCAGGTGTTCCTTGACCTGTTCAGCGGTGCTGGCGGCGTCGCGAAGGCCCTCGAGCGCCATGGCGACAACGGCTGCATCCAGATTGACATGGAGGCCGACGCAGCCTTCGACCTCACCCGCCGCTCGGCCCAGCAGCTCATCTTGGGCTGGATGGCCGGCAGGCGCGTGCGAGGGCTCTGGGTCGCCTTCCCTTGCGCGACCTGGTCAGCGGCCTCGCGGCGCACGTGCCGTCGCCCCGGAGAGCTCCGTGGTCGAGCGAATTTGACAGCAGAGCAAGAGCACAAAGTGAGCCTTGGTAATAAGACCCTTTCCGCCACTGTCCGTTTCATCAGAGCTGCTATCATGAGACAGATCCCAGTTGTTATTGAGAACCCTCCCACAAGTATGGCGTGGCAGGTCCCCGAAATGAAGAGATTGATGGCCCACCGTAGTTGTAAAATAGCTGTTGTAGACCAGCGCATGTTTAACACCCCCTGGGAGAAGCCCACAAAACTTGCAGGCTGGAATGTTTCAGAACCGCTCGCCCCGCTCGTCCAAAGGTGTCGTGGGAAGTCGCTGTGCTGTAAGACCCTTCGACCGCACCTCATCCTCGGTGTCGTGGGAAGTCGCTGTGCTGTAAGACCCTTCGACCGCACCTCATCCTCGAAGGTAGCCGGCGGACCGCTTTGGCTCAGGCCTACCCGCGGGGGCTGGCGGAAGCGGGCGCTCGATGGCTGATCACTTCAGCCGGTAGTATCGAGCACGCACACGTAGGGAGGTTGTTGCTTTAATTATCTCGTGCTCTGAATTGCAGTTGCTAATTTAACTTTTACTTTATGGGAATGTGAGTGATTGCGTTATGGCCAGTAACATGCATGGGCTGTGGGGGGCTTTCCCCGAATAGTCCTTCTGCCGACTCGGGCCCCAGAGACGGCTCGGTCGCAAGTCTCGTGACAGCATAGGTTCTCCTGGTTGCAAAAACAGTGCACATTGGCGGTTTGCAATTAAACACGTTGTGCTGAAGTCAGCAAGCCGACAGGGGACGGACGTGGGTCCGTCACCGTTTTTGCTCAAATTGTTACCTCCTCCTCCTCTCCTCCTCCTCTTTCTTGTGCTCTCACAGTGGGGGGCTTTCCCCGAATAATCCTTCTGCCGGCTCGGGCCCCAGAGACGGCTCGGTCGCAAGTCTCGTGACAGCATCGGTCCTCCTGGTTGCACAAACAGTGCACATATACATATACACGTACATATACATATACATATACAAATAATATACATATACATATACGTATACGTATACGTATACATATACATATACATATACACATACACATACACATACATATACATATACATATACATATACACATGCATATACACATACATATGCATATACATATACATTTGCATTTACATATACACATGCATATACATATTCATATACATATACATATACATATACATAACACATATACATATACATATACATATGCATGCACATATACATATGCATGTCCATATACATATCCATATACATATACATATACATATACATATACACATGTATATACATATACATTTACATATACATATACACTTACTATACACACATACATATGCATATACATATATACATCTACATATATATATATAGGCATGTACATATTTACATACACGTATACATATCACTATACATATGCATGTACACATACATATACATACATATATATATACACGCTGAACCCCATGATGAAATCGGAACACATAGAGACGGAGGGAAGTATGGAACTCCACATCGAGAGGCCTTCGTATAATGCCTGCGCTCGACTAGCGCGCCAGCCTCCCTTGCAGGGCTGCCGGCTTTCCGACGGCGGCTGCTTCGTTCGTTCGTTCGTTCGTTCGTATTGGGAATCTTGGAGTCTTGAAGAGGAGCTCTTTCGAGGTCCTCGCCCGCCCCCGAGGGCTCGGCTTGCACACCGCATCCTTGGTCAACCACACCCTTCGGATCCTTCCTCGCCTTGTCTTCCGCCACGAAGGAAAGGGGTCATGAGTGCAATAGGGTCCTCGATGTCTCTCGTCCTCGATGTCTCGCGTCGCTTCACAGGCCTCTGGGGGCCCTCCTCGGGCTCCGGGGGGCCGTCATCAGCCGATCAGGACGAGGAGCTGGCCCTGAAGGGCTTGCCGTGGGGTCCAGGACCCGCTTCCATCAGCACCCGCTTCCTCCATGCCAACCTTCTTCTGTTTGTGATGATAGGGGAGCGGAGAATGACATACACATAAAAGCTCGGGGGTCCGCGCGGATTTCTCGGATCCGCGCGGAGCGCCGAGCTACTATGATTATGTCATTATCCGTCCCCCTATGATTGTGATGAGGCAGAGCAGCCGCGCGCCTTTCTCTCATCGCCCCTTCTTCCCACTCCGATTGTCCTCCCCCTGGGGCGGCGGATCGAGGTGCGCGCGTTCTTCGGCCGCGGGGCTGGCTCCGTCAGCTTGCGAAGTCGTGTTGGTCCCCTTACGGTGCTTGTTAATACGCGCTATACGCCATGCGTGATCGACTCGCATGCATCATCTACACTTGCAGCACTACTGTCTCCCACTGGGATGCCAGCCCCATCTCTTACATTATCCCTGATGCGAGCACCAAGGGCCTCGGCTCAATCACGTTCAGGCCCCAGCACGGAGCACCATGTGCTGGTCCTGAAGCGTGTTGATGAGCACGGCGTCGCACTCGCCACCATGCTCTGTGCCCCTTTTTTGGGCGGCAAGGGAGTCTAAGGAGCAGTACAGCGGGGGCCCATGCCAAAACAAATCCCTGCCTGCCTCCAGGGTGCCCTGGCTCTCCTGGGTTTCGATGGTTTTGCGGTGGAAGGCGTGACAGTCCCACACCAAAGGTCAATGGGCGTCCTGGGGTCTCAGGGTCGGGGTCCTCTCGTGAGGTTTCTTGTGGTCGAGCCCCTACTGCAGGCGGAGGGGGAGAGCCTCCCTCGCTCCCGCGCGGTCCTCTCGGGCACCAGGGCTCCGAGGGCCGCGCCTCGGGGCCATCCCTCGGTCTGGCTTCGCGAGGGTGCGGCCTGCACGCGCCGAGCGCAGAGCACAAGCACATGTTACCAGCCTCGAGCTCATCCCTATCCCTAAGACGGATACGCCAAGAGGCGATGACAATCTCAGGGATGCGCCCTCAAAAAAGAAGGGCATCCCTGAGATTGGCATCGTGGTGAGGAGATGCCCAGCATAGGGATAGGGGCATGTTCCAGGCTGGCAAATGTGGGGCGTTGCAGAAAGGGCACCGCCTTCGGGGGGGGGGTCGTGCAGCTGGCACCTCTTCTTCGGCGGGAGGGCGGCGGAAGGCCGGCGGAGGGTCGGCGGAAGCAAGTTTTGGGGCGGCTGCGCCAGGGAGGGAGGGTAAGGAGGGGAAGCCGGCGGAAGCTTGGCGGAAGGCTTCGCAAGTAGGCTGTGTTCTTCGGTAGCAAATCGTGGGAGCTTGGGGTACCTTGTGAATTCCGTCTTTCGCGCCGACTAGCGTCGATTAGCGCGTGGGAGTCGAGATAGCGCCGATTCAGCGTCAGTCAGCGTCGACCAGCGTCGATTTGGCATCGAGTAGCGTCGATTTAGCGTGGACTAGCGACTAGCGTCGACTCGCAAGAGCCGACAAGATGGTATGGGAGGCTCCCATGAGTTGCCACCGACATGTTCTCCTAAGAGATGGTCAGGTTTTTCAGCGCAATGTTTCCGGAGTCGGCCACATATTTTCGCAGGTCCGCGCGGATATCTTGGGTCAGCGCTGCACCCCCGCGCGGCGCCTCCCGCGCCGACCCAACAGGCCCCCGCAGACCTCGCATAGTTTATGGTTAGGTTGGCTTGTAGGGCTGCTCTTCTGCGCAAGCGGATCACTGTCGGAGCACTTTTCGATCACGTGCAGGGGGTCTCCGCAGCATGGCCAGCGCCCAGTGTCACGTATGCGGAGGCCCTGCCCGACTCGTCTCTACAAGTGCACGCGGTACGGCGGACGACCAGGGGCTCCCCGCGCATCCTGCGGTACTCAGGATAGCCAGTTCGCCCTGGACATGCTTCTGTCCAGTGGCGGCCCGAGATTTGACGCTTTGTGCAGTCGCTGGAGCTCCGAGCTCAGTGCAGTGAGGGCGTCGGTTTGCACTGCGCTTCCAGGCCTTCGGCGGCGAGAAGCCGGGCTGCGTCCAGCGCGCTGGCCAGGGTCCAGACACGAGAGAATCAGGAGTCGGCGGATAGAGGTGCAGATGGAGCAGGAGAGGGGAAGGGACACGCGGAGGACGAAGAGGGTGGAGGAAGACCCAGAGATCCGATGTCGTGATTTTTTCCATGCGGGGTCCCTGGAAGTCTCGATCCATTCCCCAGGACCTGTTTTTCATCCCGAATCGTTGTTTGACGGTCCCAGGGCCCGGCGAGGGCCGCTAGAGGCCCAAAATCGAGAAAAACCTCCGTCTTGATTTTTTCAATGCGTCGGAGATCCGGGGAGGACGAAGAGGAGCCTCTGCCGCCGCCGCGTCACGGCCCGCGTCGCGCCCAGTCCGACCCTGACGAGTTCTTCGAGAAGG